ACGCATTGTAAGCAAAGGTACTCATTTTATTGAATTCATTAGCTTATACATCAAGAGGGGCAAGGTCAGCTGCGACCTCACCGGGAGTAGAAAGAGATGACTCAACAAGAGACTCAGGATTGAACTCTATAGCAGAAAGAGTGTCGGCCTCAGACTCTAAGGACTCGTCTATAGACTTAGACTCAGACTCGGACTCGGACCCGGACGACTCAGACTCATCAAACATAAGACCTTCGCCAGCGGTTATTTCCAACTTCTCTCCACTTGGCGTAGTGATCCTCAATGTCTTGCGACATCCCCTTGAAATATTATTAGCTTGGACGATTAACTCAGAAGGGTCAAAATCCTTGTTTGCTATAACAGCTTGAACGATCTCGGAATTATCATTGCAGATGGGCTTAGACTCATTCTTCTCCATTCCAAAAAGCAGGTTGATGCCTAGATCATCAGATTTCGGGCTAGCTGGTTTCTCAGTTGTGAAGAGCTCTTCGTCTTCATCAAGAAAGTCACAATCGAGGAACATCTCAAATCCTGGTTCACGCTTCCCATCGTAGATAAATGGCTCAGGGAATTCATAGCATGGGAAGTCTTCCCCTTCTTTGATGTACTGGCCATTGAGGGTTAATGGATATGGACCCATGGCCATTTCCGTCTTCATGATTCGAGCATTGTTGCGAGCCTTCATCTTCAAGAGAGCTTGTTTCACATCTTCTTTTGTTGGCTTGAATCTAAAGCCAAAAGTATCCTTCTTGAGTGCACCTGGATGGCCCCAAAGTTTGGCCATTTTCTTTTGGAGTCCGAGGGTCATTCCAGGGAAATGCCCTTGCTTCTTCAGAATGGCATTAATATTGGTGTTTGAATAGGGATCGAAGTCGAGATGGCACTTTTCCTCTTCTTCAATTACGAGAACATCATCGAGTGAAAACCCCCAAAGATCTTCGTCTTCTTCGTCATGTTCGACATGAATGATAGGAGTGTCGATAACTTGAATGCGCATAGGAGAGGCATCAATGGTAATTGGAACCCCTCTAACTATGGCTTTCACTTTTTGGTGCAGCGATGATGGAATCGCCTTTAGCTCATGAAGCCAAGGGCATCCTAACAACAGATTGAAGGAGGCCTTAATGTCTACCACCTGAAACTTAGTGCGACGTTCAATGGCCCCAGTAGTTACGTTCAGTATGATAGTACCCACGGCTTGACGACGAGTATTATCATAAGCGCGAATCCCTTGAGTGGAGGGAGTCAGTTCTTCATTCTTTATGCCCAACTTCTTTGCAGTACGGAGTGGGCACACATTGATTGCAGAGCCATTATCAACCAGGCTCATAGGAACATTCATCTTCCTACACACCATAGTGAGGTGTAAGGCCTTATTATGTTGGTCCCCTTCTAGGGGCAGATCCTTGTCAGAAAACGAAATCAGATTGCTAGTACTTGGCAATTCAGTAGTGAGAAAGTTGACCAGTCCTTGAGGAGTCATGTCATCATCAACTCCTATTTTCACCAAAGAATTCATCACAGCCTTTCGATGCTCGTGGGAGGTGGCCAAAAGCTTCCATACATTCATCTCCGCCTTTGTCTTTTGCAATTGTTTGACCACATCGTTGTTCACAGGGTCTATGGGATCAACTATCGGATGTGATTGTGGCGGAGGTGGAGGTGGACTAGGTTGTTGCAACCGTCCACTTCTGGTGATAACCTTGACCTCAAAGTCTCCCCAAACATCTTCACTCGTGCCAAGAGATGAACAGGCTATATCCTTGATATAGACGTCTTCATCGTCACTATCCCAAATTCCATTCACTTCTTCAGAACTTGAGACAAACACAACTTCCGGCAGAGTTTCATTCACAGGTTGAATGAGTATTGACGGAACAAAGGAGACTTCATCTCCCATGATAGCCAAAGCATCAGAAAGAGGACCTGTTTGAATGTTAGGCTTCTTACCCCCTGGAGGGACAGGAAGTTGATTAGCATCAATTAGGTCTTGGATTGCATCCTTCAACCTCCAACACTTCTCAGTATTATGACCCTTGCCTTGATGAAACTTGCAATAAGCATTGGGATCATAGCTAGCGGTCCTATTCTCTGGTCGAGGTTCTAGAAATGGTCCAATTGGCATAATCAATCCTTGACCATGCAAACGGTCATAAGCAGCATCATAAGTGATTCCCAAAGGCGTGTAAACCCTCCTTTGCCTTTGGAATCTTTGAGGAGGAGCATTAAGGGCCAGCACATCATTGATATTGATATTGTTGGTAGCATTATTGGGCTTGGAAGACGAATAAGAAGGAGTGTCGTTCTTCTTGTTTTTCCAAGTGCTGTTATTACTGTTGCTACCAGCAGTCTTCATTAGTTCGTCCTCGATATTGATTCCAATATCATATACAGCTTCAAAGGTACTCAGAGGCAGAAACTTCAAGTGTTGCTTGTACTTATGAGTCAGATTGGCGATGAACAAGCGAACCATCTCCTTTTCCTTGGGGGGATCCACCAAGAGCGTGGTTGTTTCCCTGCACCTGCTTAGGTATGTGGTGAAGCCTTCATTCTCTTTCTGTTTGAGAATGGAGAGTTCACGTTCAGAAGTCTTGGCCTGAATGTTACATTTGTAACGATTCATGAAGCTTTCAGTAACATCCTCCCAGCTCGCGACATGTTTGGATTCTAAAGAGTAAAACCATTGTTGATAAGCATGCTCCAAGGAAAGAGGGAACACTGTAGGGAAGAGTGTCACATCTACTCCCTTAAGAGCCATAGTCGCAGAAAAAGCCTTCAAATGGAAAAGCGGATTATCAGTAGGCTTGAATTTGGGAATATCAGCAGTGGAAAACTTCTCAGGAAGCTTGTCCCTTATGGACGAAGAGGTGACAGGATGTTCCACATAAGTGAATTCTTCATAAATTTTGCTCATCTGTTCCTTAATCTTGTCCATTGCAGCGGTAGTGACATTGTTTTGATTGTCTTGCTCTATCGTGCTGACTCTAGTGGTGAGTGTCTGCATCATGTTAGACAACTTTTCAATTGTTTTGTTGAGGTTCTCGATGTCTTCCTCAGTAGCCATTGGTTGAAAGTAGACTAGAGATGGATCTTGTGGAGATGATTGAGGTGGTTTCCTTGTACGCCTCTTTGGTATAAGAGGTTGTTGAGGTATTGACTCAAACCGTAACAATCTACCCCTGCTTCTTGACCAAGTGTTGTGACACCGAAACAAACACACCTTTAATGAACAAACTTAACCTTAACCCATCCAGAATGAATTTTTAAAATAAACTATAATTTTGAAATTCTTATTTGTTTATTTTTTTTAAATGTGGGAGGATACTATCCGACTTACTCCGAAAAAAAAAGACACAAAAAACAGACTATCCTAAAATACGGTCAAAAAGTAGTGCACGCCTAAGGAAAAAAAGTGTGTGAACACGATATGTGAGAGATTAAGTGAGGATATGGACGCGTGTTTTGACCGTATAGCTAGACATGACACCAAACTGGATACAACAACCACATACGTGCGCACAAAAACCGAAAAAAGATTGACAGGACACTTTTCCTGGGCACCGTGTCACGGTGCTAACTGTCGTGACACGGTGCAGTCTACCGTCAGACGGTAGAAAGCCCCGTGTCACGGCACTGTTCACCGTGGCGCGGCAGAACATGCCGTGACACGGTGCGCAGCTCCAGGTCAGTTTTGTGATTTTTCCAGATTTTAATCGATTTTAGGTCCGTACTAATTACTATGTGAAAATAAAAACCCTCGGTCATGGGTTAAACAAAAGAGTAAACACATGAAGGTTAGCACCAAACAGTCACATAGCATTTAGGCACGATGATGTAAAAAAAAAGTTCGCAACCTAGAGTCAAGATCTATGTTCCACTATTGGTCAAGCTTTGGGTGTCAAAAGGGTACCACGGTTAAGAGTTTGGACGCGTTAGCAAGGCAGCCTCCCTTGAGGGTGTATGCCAACGGGCGGCTCCACGAGTTCGTGATGAAATCGAACTCGACTCCATGGTTTGGGTGGATTTCATGACTCGGATGAACCCTTATTGCCATGAGCGTTTTTGTGTTGATAGAGCTTAAATCCCCCGGGGCTAAGACGCATGTAGAACACATACGTTTTTTCAGAAAAATCGAAGGAAGTTGACTGTGAGAAGAGAAAATAAGACACCGGACTGATTTTAGGGCTGGCGTGACACGGAAAAAATTCCCGTGCCACGGTACTGTGCACCGTCAGACGGTGCACTGTACCGTGACACGGCAGATTTTGTAGTGGCACGGCAGTTAGAAGATATGACTGGTGCCCTGTTTTCCTTCGTGCGCAACCAAGTTATTCAATTTTTCCTACGGGACAGACCTGAATGCGACGTTAAAACGTCTATGCAGATGCAAAAATGCCAAATTAATCACAGGGATATTTTTTCAAGAATCTTTCAAGTCTCATCCACTCATATTAATTAAATATCAATCACTCAAATCGATAAATAACCAAGAATCCTCCCGAGTGGAGTCGCCAAATATTGTAGGTGTCGTTTGAAGTGCGCCTACGTTAAAAGCATGTGGTGAATATGCTTGGCACTCATAGGAAGTGGGAATTGACATAATACGATTAGGGACAAATAAAGTAGGGAGCCGCCAACAAGTTTTTAAGGAACTTGTAAACCGTTCACGGATCATAAAAAGGCAACCACGATAAGGGACAACGATAGGCAACAACGATTGACCCGTGAAAGTTACACCCCATTCATAATCACTACTAGAAAAAACCTCATTAGTAACGCCCCATTAGTAACTGACATATGTTATGTAGGTTACAATAAGAGTATTAGTAACCGACGTAAATAACGCAGGTTACAAATAAATTAGCACTAGTAACGGGCATAGCTAAGGCCAGTTACAAATACTCAATCAAAAAGAGTGTGACTAAATATTAGTAACTGTCGTAGAAAACGCCGGTAACAAATATTTGGTCAAACCTTATTGACCTTATTATTAGTAAGGAGCTCTGGCATGGCCAGTTACTCATGTGATGCCGCTTACGGCTTAGAGTCTCAGTTAAAATATCACGCTCACCTTTTCAGTTCTACCCATCCTCCTTGACTTGCAAACCCATCCCATTTTCTCTCTTTTCAACCCTCATTCAAATTCTAATTTTTGTTCTTCAACAATTCGTATGAACAACAAATCTAATTTCGAAAAAACCTTTGTCGGCTTACGACTCATGTCTAAGCCACCAATTACATTAGCGTTGGTCTGATGTGGAGATCACCGGAGTTACAATTTCATCTCTGTGCGAATCATTCGAGTTCGTTGTTTTTCAAAGGATTCTGATGTATTCATCGACGTTGATCTGATAATTTTGAGAAGAAAGTTCCAATTTTTTCGCGAATTATTAGCGTCAGAAGGAAAATAAAGGCAACTGAATAATTCAATCAGAATTGCTTTTTGAATTGGATTGAAATTCAGCAAAAGTAGTTCCATCGAGGTTCAATGGTATGTAAATTTTCTAATTAGGTTTCTTTTAAATATCCCTTTTCTTTATTCAATAAAATCCCTAAAATTTGAATTGAATTTTGTTGTTGTCAGAACTGAAAATTAGATTTCATGAATAATTTTGAATTAATTAAAAAAGAGTTTCATAGTGCACTGAGATAGATTATTGAAGAACATCAGATTAAAGCAGCTACGTTGCCAGAGTTTCGAGCGCAAGAGCAAGAAATCGGGGCTTGAAATTCCTAAATCGGTGTATAGTTGAACAAGCAATTTGCAAGGCTGGAAAATTTGGTATGGCTCTTCTATTTTAGGAAAACTTTGTTATGATATATTGTGTGTTTGTATTTTTATTATTCTTTAAGAAAATTTACAATTTAATTATCAATATTTCAAGGGAAACCAAAATTAACTAACAGGAACAAGCTTTTATAGTAATAATAAAGTTTAATAAAATGCTCTAGTTATTAAGAATGCAAGTTACTTTTTCTCTTTTCTTGAAATTCTCCCCCAAATTGTTTAATGAAATGTCGGATACAAGCAATGGAGCAACAAGTATTTGTGATGTGTGCTTGTTGCCCTGTGGGTTTTATTTGTTACTTGTTAGTTGTTAGTCTTGTTACTGTGACTACAACCTATTTTCTAGTCTCTAGCTTCCCATCTCCATTTTTCGTACTCGAAATCCGCCTTTCCATTCTCTTGGCATCTTACAGCTACCTCTACGAATGGACAAGTCATTGTACTATAGCTCGGCTTATAATCAGCATCATAAACCCATCTCCCGTCGAAAATGTCACAATTTTTTTTCTTTTCTTCTATAGGCTTCTCCATGCTATTACTAGTTAAATTAGATACAAATACGGGACTAATAATCGAGGGAGATACTTCAGGGCTATAAATGACTACTTCAGGATTGTCACTTCTGGAGTACGAGTGGTAATATCTGGCTCGGATTTAGGATTAATAATAAGAGGCGGAACTTCTGGGCTTTGGATGGCTACTTGAGGCTAGAGTATAGGACTAATAACTGGAAATGATTTTACTTTTGAAATACGGGGGGTAATATTTGGCTTGCATATAGGACTAATAACCAGAGGCGGAACTTCTAGGGGATGGGTGGTGACATTAGGCTCGATAATGGTACTAATAGTCAGGGATAGAACTTCCAGGGGATAGGTGGTGGTGGTGGCATTAGGCTCGATAATGGTGCTAATAATTAGTTGTGGAACATCAACATGGACTGAAGGAGTGGTTAACTCTGATGGCACGGTGGTTTTTTTGGGTTGTTGGTTGATCTAAATTTTAGAAAAGGGGTTAAATTTAAGCAAAGCATGGTTAGTAGCTAATAAACTTGCATTTTGTTGGGTTTTGTCGATGAATAAGAGTGAAATAAGACCACCGCAAAAACAACCAACTAAGAAGAGTTTCCATGTGCCTAAGACTTGAGGTTTCTTTTCCATGACTTGAGGAAAAATAAGTGTCTAACTTGTTTGCTGCCTTTGATAAATGTGAAAATGTCAAATTAGTTTACTAATGTCTGGTACATTATCATATTGTTTAATACAAATGGGTCAACTTGCATGAATATTATACTTAACTATTGAATAGATATATTCATTCTTTATTATTTATTTATTCGTTATTTGTTTATTTTTAATAGTTTTGCATTAAATCATTGAATAAATTATTTATTGAACTATTGACTATTTATATAAACATGTTCTTTGTATAGAATTTATAATGTAATGAAAAAAATAAAATTATTATCAAAATAATAGAATCGATTTTTTTTTTTTTTTGTAAGAATTGCAATCCTTAATGATTCAAATCTCCAATCCATATATATATATATATATATATATATATATATATATATATATATATATATATATATATATATATATATATATATATATATCTTTCTTTGATTTTTATTCCTATCATTTCTTTTTTAAAGGTTCACAACTGGTTGAATTGACACAACTGAAGTCGTGCAAGAGCAGGAGAGTTTCAGTCTTGAAGCAAAATGTGAAGGGCTCGTTGGAGCGCTATCTGGTCATGAAATACCACCCATTGAAGAGAAGACCAGGTCAGCCAACCTCTTAGCTATACTTGAGTTGTTTTCAGAAATGGTTTGTGTGAATCTAAATAAGTTATTGAGCATTTGCAATTTCACTACATTATGAAAATTGAATCGATGATGTTGAAAAGCAGACGGGCGGAATGAACTGGTGCCGTGTTGATTGTCTGCATAGATCATTTCCTTGAGTTTATTTGAGATTTTCCCTTTTTTTAAATTTTTTATTTCTTCATTATTTCTATTTGATTTTTAATATTTTAATCGATGAAATTGAATTCCAGACATCGGTAGGTGTTTATTGTGAATTACTATAATAGAACATTTATTGTCTAGAAAATTAAAATAAGTGCTCAATCGTTGACTGGTAGTATATAAATGTAGCTACTTTGATACAATTTGTGCTCTAAATTTTCAATACACTCAATTTTCTAATTTAATTTGATTAATAACATATTAAAACCTTTCTTCTTTTAAGGGTTAATATGTGGGGTTGTTTTATTGCTCTCCCTTTAACTATAAAAGCAATTGTATGTATGCGATAGTTTAGTCAGATCCAATTATATGTATATGATAGCTAGATTTGTCATAGCATAGTTTTAGTGAAATTAATGGTTTTGATTTATGTATTGAATTTATATGTGACTAGTTTTGTTTAATAAGTGACTGAAGTTTTTCTCTTGTGAGTTTTGATGCTTATTTTCTTTTATATCCCCTCATATTGATGCATTGATCATGTTGGAAGAGTTCACTTGGTCATTGTCTGTAACAACCCTTTTTTAATTTTGGCTTTTTTTTTGTTTTTTTTTTTTATGTATATATTCCTTTCCCATGCAGAATTCTATTGCAATATCAAGTGCTCAGTGTGAACTGCTACTATCCCATACAGAACTGTCAAATTTGTGAAGCGGACATAATCGTCAAAATTTGAAGGTGGACCATTATATCAATTAACTAACTAGCTTTTTTTTAGTTATAGAATATTATTTATTGTGAATTGTGAGAAATATTTGTAATTTACAGGTACATCAATTCAATATAATTTACAAGATAATATCACTTAAAGTTGTTATTATATTGGTTAGATCGATAATTTTTGTATTTTATAAAAGTTTATTCACAATTAATGGTCTTTACATTAAAAAAATATAAATGTAGTGTACGGGCAGTGGCGGACTGGGCCTTGTGCCTGGTGACTCACCAGGGCCCAAAAAAAATTTTATGTTTTTTTTTTAAAAAAAAAAAATAAAAAAAAAATCTAACTTCAGGTCCCGACACTTCCTCAAGCCCTAGCCCACTGCCTCCTCAGCTGCTCTTCCCTCTTCGCCTCTTGACTTCCTCTTCGCTTCATCTTCACCAGACTGCCTCCACCCAGCCACCCTCCAGTCGCCTGCTCTACCTCTGCTGCTTGCCTGCTCCGTCTTCGTGGTCACTGCTCTTCGCCTCTTCGCAATCGCTTCGACGCAATTGCTAATTCACTAGTAAGTTGATTTCTAATTTTTATTTTTAATTTCTTATCTTCAATTTAATTCAGTCTAATTAGTTAATTTTATTAAACTTTGGTTTAAACTTTGGTTGATTTGTAGTTGACGCTTCCTCTTCGCTCATCGGCTCACGCCTCGTTGCCTCCAGTGCTGGCCCTGCTGCTCCGCCTACTCGCCTCAATGAGCATATGCCGTCTGGCAAGGTAATCATCAATTTATTCTTTTTTTTTTGTGAATTTCTGATCAAATTTGCATTACTTGTTGCTTAAAATTAGTATATACGATGAATGTTCATTGAATTTGCATTATTTGTGTTTTGACTGTTAAATTGAACTTATTAGTTTATGTGATGCCGGACATTGTATAAGACAACTATTAGTGTAAGGAGGATTATAAATTTATAATTAGATTACAGTGTGGACTGGTTAGTGGTGCTAGTCGCATATTCGGCTGGAAGTTCCGTATAGACTAGGCGGATTCAGGAATTGTAAAACATTGTGTCTGAATTGTGGTTACATAAACCTTAAATCATTCTTAAGTTTTTTCTTGTGATTGTTGCTGTAAATTGTTTAAACTGTTATTACACGGAGAACAGTAGTTAGGGTGTTTATTAGCTTGTTAGTTATTAGTTTGTTAATTTTAGTCTTGTAATTTCAGAATGAAGAGAAAACGCATTCCAAATGAAATGCAAAACATTACTAGCTTTTTTGCTAAAAAGAATCCTACTCCAACTTCTCTTCCACATCCAACACAAAATGAACAAACTATATCTCAACCTCAAGAAAGTGAACAACATTCATCTCCATCTCATTATTCAACTTAAAATTCCCCTCAAAATGAACAAGGCCAATGTTCTCCTAATGCAACAATCTTTGGTGAAAGATTAAGTGAACATGAATTTGCTAATCTTCCACAAGATCCAGGAAAGAGGAGAAAGATGAGTGAATTTCATAAAGATGATAGAGATTTAGTGAGAAGAATTTACATTCAAAGAAAGCCTTGTCAGCCCAAAGACTTTGTATTTCCTCAAACTTCTATTTTTGGCAAAAACCGTCGCTTTTGTGCTAAGTGGTTTGGTACTTGGACTTGGCTTGAGTATAGTGTGGAAAAGGATGCTGCCTATTGGTTGTATTTTGTATTGTTTGAATATTTGGATGTATTTTTTAGTACTATTATTTGGTTGTTTGGTAAAATTTTTTTTTTACATATTTGATTATCGATTGTGACTCACCAGTCGGAAATTTATGGATCCGCCACTGTGTACGGGTGGTGGCAGTAGAGGAATTTACTACTGCTACCATTTTATTAATTTATTATTTTTATAATAAAAACACTATTTGTAACTGGCGTTATGTTATGTCAGTTACAAATAATACTTTATTTGTAACCGGCATAACTTAATGCTAGTTACAAATAGTATGCTTTCTAAATTGGAAAATAGCCTATTTGTAATTGGCGTTAGCTTAAGCCAGTTACGAATAGTACGTTATTTGTAACTAACATTAGCCGGTTACGAATAAATTTTACAAGTTGTAACGGTAGCATTCGCAACCAACAATGCCAGTTACAAAAGTCATTTTCGCCAGTTACAAATAATATTTTTCTACTAGCGAATCCATGAGATTACTAACTCCATATGGTTCGGAACCACGAAAGGAGGATCGAGGATGATGGTACGAAGTGAGTCATGGAGTCACATTCGCCCGTATTGGCCTCTACTCGATTCTTATAGTGAAAAGTGATTCCTGCGATCTCAAAGGCATACAAACAAAATATTCAATTTGCTCCAATCTATTATTAGGCTAAATTGGTTGAATATTAATGCAATACATAATTCTAAAATATCGTGATCACTTGAATTAACAATAAGATTAAAAAGGAACCTAAACCGGTTGTCCAAATTATCTTATTAGGAGTGATTTTCAATTACATATTTCCTTTTAACATGCAATATTGTGATCATAACAATAACAATAGAATAAATATTAATATTGGAAGCAATTTAGCAATAATTCCAACAATATAAAATCGTTAGAAAAATAATAAAAATAAAAGGAACATAATTCTTACTTTGATTCTGTTTGTTTGCAACTACAAAATAATAAACGAGTTAGTAACTTCAAGGAAATAATAATAAAACAATAATTAAATTAAATTAAACAAAGTAGAGTTGATTTGGGGCCAAATCCTCATACAGTTCTACCTTTCACGCCTTGGCTTAAGGACAGAACCACGAGTAAAGTATGGACTCCTTGGAGTACTTGAAGAAGGAATTTTGAAATAAGAAGGGTAGGCTAGTGTTTAGGCTAAAGCATAGAAGAGAGAAAAATAAATTAGAGAATTAATTGATGCCCCGCACATCAGAAATGAGGGGGTATTTAAAGAGAAAATGTGTTGAGGGAGCACACGGAACCCTAAAATGATAAAAACCCTAAAAAAGTATCTCGCGACACGGCAAATTGTACCGTGATACGGGAAGTCCCACCGTCAGACGGGAAACATTCCCATGACATGGTGCATTTTTAGTGTGATGCGGGAAATTTTCAGTAAACGGGGAAGAAAACGCATTAAGGGTTTACGCGGAAAAGATACGGAATTTCCCGTGTCACGGCAGACTTCCCGTGTCACGGGAAATCCCACCGTCAGACGGGAATGATTCCCGTGACACGGTGGGTACCTGTCGTGGCGCGGGAATTCCCAACCCGCTTTTCCGTCTAAATACATTTTTAACCCTAATTTCATTCAGCATTTTAAGTGCCGGTTGATAATTTCGGGCCTTTTCTGACTTATTATTATTTGGGCTAAAATAAGAAAATAATTGAAAAAAATAAATAAAAGGTTTGGGCTAAAAAGTAAATAATAAATTTGGGCTGAAATTAAAACTATGCTTTTACCAAACATCAAGACTAATCCATGGACTGTTCAAAAATATGAATTTAATCAAATACGATTTTTTAAGCACTCTCAGGATTAAATACTGAACCCGACCAATAGTGGCGGTGAAAGGTTGTTCATCACCGGGTTTGGTTTTGGGGAGACATTTTTAGGTGTCTACAGGCACCCTTTTGTGTAACTCGTCATTTATGAGCACATATTGGAAGTCAAAAGTCTTAAATCTTGTTTTCCTCTTTTGTCAGCATGGAGTGGATATTCTCCTCTGGTAACATAGTTGAGGATGTCTGTATACTAAGGTTCTTCTTCTTCTTCTCTTTAGACCACTTCTTCATCCTCTATAGCTTGAATATAAGCCAGTTTATGCCTTTTTCTATTGTTAAAGGCATTTACTCAATTTCCGTAGCAATTCTAACCATGAGGCTACTCTTTCCAAGGCATCAGCAAATTGATTTTCCTCTCTAAGTACATATGTGTATTATACCTTTTCCTATTGGTTTGTGAGAGTTTCCAAGTGTGTTTGGTAAGGGGCCTGTAAGAAATATTTCAAGCATTACCCTAAACTTGAACCCCACTGTGATTATACACTTAAGCATGGTGGCGTCCAAAGGGAAAGAATATAGAGCAAAAGAGTCGCCAATAAGTTTTAGGAACTTGTAAACCGCTCACGAGGTGAAGGTTACACCCCTTAATGATCCAGGAGATCGTCAACTCCAATAGGTCTGGAACCATGACTGGTAGTTCGGGGATGAAGATACAAAACCAACCTAAAAGAGATTGAACCTGCCCTAATAATAAACCTGTACTTTATTCTGATCGTATTCATGTGCGCTTTCTGACTAACATACAATCAATAGGTTTACCCTAAACCTGTTTATCTATGTTGGTTGAATATTAATGCACAAATAAATCTATTATTGGCGATCACTTGAATTATAATAAAGCTAACCCTAAACAAGATTATTAATTATCTTATTAAGCGTGATTACAAGTACCAAATTCCCTTTAAACATGCATAAAGGTGTGATCAAGCAATAACAATAAATATATATCAAGCAACATAATAATAATAATAATAAATAATCTTAATAATCATAATTATGTTAAAGCATAATAATAGAAAGATCCTGGTCATGATACTAACAAGATTAATAACAAACCCTAGCATGTGACTAAACACCAAAGATTAAATATATAGCCCTAACGTGATACTGACATGAATATTAGGAGAGAGAATAGAAAGCATCATAGGAATCACAATAAGCACATTAAATATTATAATCTTTTCCCTAAACATAATAATAGGAATCATTGTTGTCATTCAAAACATCAAGCATCCTATCATGATACTAGGAATCATAATGACAACCTAGACATGATTTCTATATCATAATAATAATGCAAACAATTAAAGCACTTAAAGCACTTACTTGGATGCCTCGTATCTCTTTCTAATAACAAAATACACACGTTAGTTACTTCAAGGAAAATAATAAAATCAAACAATTAAATTAAATAATTGAAATAGAGATTTGAGACCAAACCCTCAAAAATTAAAACCATTCACGTATAGGGCGAAGGCAATTTCGAACTTGGCTAGGTGTTTCTAGATCTTGTGAATGCGGAATTTTGTATGCAAAAGGGTTGGTTTAGAAAAGAGAGAGAGATATATCAAGAGAATCTTGAAGAGAGAGAATTAGAGATTGTTGATGATTTAAAACGAAGATTTAAGAGGCTATTTATATAGAAAATCAGCCGGATGGATAAAAAAAACGAATCAGAGTTTCAAAAAGAATAAAACGCTATTAGCGCCAGACGCTAGACATTAGCGCCAGTTGCTGAGGCTAGCGCCAGACGCCAAGCACTAGCGCCAGGCGCTAATCATGTCGTTAGGCGCTAGAAAACAACTTCCACGCGTTTTCTTAATTTTGATAAAATTTAGCCGTACAGGAGGGCAAAATCGTATTTTCCTTAAAAACACTTCTTTTATTCTGATTAAAACTCTAAAAAGTCAACTAAAGTCAATTTATCAATGCTAATTAAATTAGGAATGAAAAGAACCTTCTAGAAAAATCTAAAATACTATAATCAATTCTAATTGCATTAGGAATGATAAATCAATATTAGGCCCTCCTCTAGATCATTGGCCTCATATAAATATCAAACCGGGCACAATTTAGTAATTTGGCCATAACTTCCTCATTATTCATCGGAATTGGACTTATAATATATCGTTGTAAAGCTCTTTTTGAACCTAACACAACTACACTATTATTGGACCCTTGCCATGGACCAAACCAAACTGGATTGGCTGTTTTCTTAAAAATAGGTTTTCAAAAATAGAGAGAAAGAAAAGAAATAAAAACCATCCGCAACACTAAACATTCGACACTTCTACTTCATTTAATTATGATTCGACGTGAAAGGTACTCATCACTTGGTTTGGTTTTAGGGAAACACATTTGGGTTTCTACAGAAGCCCCCACTTTGACTGAGTTTGGAGAAATGCAAGTTTCGAAAACAAAAGTCAAAGTATCCATAGGGACAGAGAATGATTCAGGACGTTCTGCAATCCTAAATCACTCTTGTAACGCCGATACCTGCAAACTAACGTTAGTTTAAAACAGATAAAAGTGTTAAGAAACGCGTATCTTGCACCGTCGAGCACACGTCTCTGCTGGTAACCGATTTGTTGTTGTTGCATTATTGTATTTGCTGTTGTGACAACCTTCCACAAGCTAAGGAACGCCATCCTGCTGCTTTGACGATCTTCCGCAAGCTAGGGGATACCGCATGAAGACTGCTACGCCTGTAACATTCTCCAATTCCGCCGTGAAAGTCGTCGAAAAGACCACTGCTCGTTGATCCTTAATGCTACTTGAATTTTGCTGTTGATGAACCAGTATGTTGATCTTAAGTTATGATGATGACTCAAGGAACCTAAGCAAACCCATAAGGGCTTTAACTTTTGTCTATTAGCTTTGATGTACTTGACAGGTTCTTATATGCAACGAAGTTCTAGAGTCAGAACGGAGCATGGAACAAGTCTAAAGGATGAGCTATGGACGAGCATAGAAGACAATCAGAAGCCAAGTTCCTTGAGTGAGGAACTGAAGCTCCAGAGTCGAAGCTTCACTGTGTTCCAAGGAGTCTATTGTATCTTTATTGTTTATTTTAGGCTTCTTGTATATATGTTAAGTACATTGTTAATTGATAGGATTTAAGTGGATTGAATTTCATTTTATAAAGATTTTATTTTTCCTTTTTTTTAACAAGATTTAATTTTATTTCGGAAAAATAT